TAGTACACTGGGAAGTACTTTGTGCAAGCTTTGTAGTACACAGTAGTACTGGGAACGTGTTTGTGCGAGCTTTGTAGTACACAGTAGTACTTGGAAGTAGTTTGTGCCAGCTTTGTAGTACACAGTAGTACTGGGAACGTGCTTCTGCAAGCTTTGTAGTACACAGTAGTACTGGGAAGTAGTTTGTGCAAGCTTTGTAGTACACAGTAGTACTGGAACGTGTTTGTGCGAGCTGTGTAGTACACAGTAGTACTGGGAAGTGCTTTGTGCAAGCTTTTTAGTACACAGTAGTACTGGGAAGTAGTTTGTGCGAGCTTTGTAGTACACAGTAGTGCTGGAACGTGTTTGTGAAAGTTTTGTATTACACAGTAGTACTGGGAAGTAGTTTGTGCGAGCTTTGCAGTACACATTAGTACTGGAACGTGTTTGTGCGAGCTTTGTAGTACACAGTAGTACTGGGAAGTGCTTTGTGCAAGTTTTGTAGTACACAGTAATACTGGGAAGTAGTTTGTGCGAGCTTTGTAGTACACAGTAGTACTGGAACGACTTTGTGCAAGCTTCGTAGTACACAGTAGTACTGGGAAGTGCTTTGTGCAAGCTTTGTAGTACACAGTAGTACTGGGAAGTGCTTCGTGCAAGCTTTGTAATACACAGCAGTACTGGGAACGACTTTGTGCAAGCTTTGTAGTACAAAGTAGTACTGCGCACGACTTTGTGCAAGCTTTGTAGTACAAAGTAGTACTGGGAAGTTGTTGCAAGCTTTGTAGTACACAGTAGGACTGGGAACGACTTTGCAAGCCTTGTAGTACAAAGTAGTACTGGGAAGTGCTTTGTGCAAGTTTTGTAGTACACAGTAGTACTGGGAAGTGCTTCCTGCAAGCTTTGTAGTACAAAGTGGTACTGGGAAGTGCTTCGTGCAAGCTTTGTAGTACAAAGTGCTACTGGGAAGTAGTTTGTGCAAGCTGTGTAGTACACAGTAGTACTGGGAAGTACTTTGTGCAAGCTGTGTAGTACAAAGTAGTACTGGGAAGTAGTTTGTGCAGGAAGTGCTTTGTGCAAGCTTTGTAGTACAAAGTAGTACTGGGAAGTGCTTTGTGCGAGCTTTGTAATACACAGTAGTACTGGGAACGACTTTGTGCAAGCTTTGTAGTACACAGTAGTACTGGGAACGTGCTTCGTGCAAGCTTTGTAGTACAAAGTAGTACTGGGAAGTAGTTGTTGCAAGCTTTGTAGTACACAGTGTGACTGGGAACGACTTTGCAAGCCTTGTAGTACAAAGTAGTACTGGGAAGTAGTTTGTGCGAGCTTTGTAGTACACAGTAGTACTGGGAACGTGTTTGTGCGAGCTTTGTAGTACACAGTAGTACTGGAACGTGTTTCTGCAAGCTTTGTAGTACAAAGTGGTACTGGGAAGTGCTTCGTGCAAGCTTTGTAGTACAAAGTGGTACTGAGAAGTAGTTTGTGCAAGCTGCGTAGTACACAGTAGTACTGGGAAGTACTTTGTGCAAGCTGTGTAGTACAAAGTAGTACTGGGAAGTAGTTTGTGCAGGAAGTGCTTTGTGCAAGCTTTGTAGTACAAAGTAGTACTGGGAAGTTCTTTGTGCGGGCTTTGTAGTACACAGTAGTACTGGGAACGTGTTTCTGCAAGCTTTGTAGTACACAGTAGTACTGGGAAGTAGTTTGTGCAAGCTTTGTAGTACACAGTAGTACTGGAACGTGTTTGTGCATTTGTAGTACACAGTAGTACTGGGAAGTGCTTTCTGCAAGCTTTGTAGTACACAGTAGTACTGGGAAGTACTTTGTGCGAGCTTTGTAGTACACAGTAGTACTGGAACGTGTTTGTGCAAGTTTTGTAGTACACCGTAGTACTGGGAAGTAGTTTGTGCGAGCTTTGTAGTACACAGTAGTACTGGGAACGTGTTTGTGCGAGCTTTGTAGTACACAGTAGTACTGGAACGTGTTTGTGCCAGTTTTGTACTACAAAGTAGTACTGGGAACGACTTTGTGCAAGCTTTGTAGTACACAGTAGTACTGGGAACGACTTTGTGCAAGTTTTGTAGTACAAAGTAGTACTGGGAAGTAGTTGTTGCAAGCTTTGTAGTACACAGTAGTACTGGGAACGACTTTGTGCAGTACACAGTAGTACTGGGAAGTGCTTTGTGCAACTGTGTAGTACACAGTAGTACTGGGAAGTGCTTTGTGCAAGCTTTGTAGTACACAGTAGTACTGGGAACGGCTTTGTGCAAGCTTTGTAGTACACAGTAGTACTGGTAGTACACTTTGTGCAAGCTTTGTAGTACACAGTAGTACTGGGAAGTGCTTTCTGCAAGCTTTTTGTGCAAGCTTTGTAGTACAAAGTAGTACTGGGAAGTGCTTTGTGCGAGCTTTGTAGTACACAGTAGTACTGGGAAGTAGTTTGTGCGAGCTTTGTAGTGCACAGTAGTATATACTGGGAACGTGTTTGTGCGAGCTTTCTAGTACACAGTAGTACTGGGAAGTGCTTCGTGCAAGCTTTGTAGTACACAATAGTACTGGGAAGTAGTTTGTGCGAGCTTTGTAGTACACAGTAGTACTGGGAACGTGCTTCTGCAAGCTTTGTAGTACAAAGTAGTACTGGGAAGTTCTTTGTGCGAGCTTTGTAGTACACAGTAGTACTGGGAACGTGTTTCTGCAAGCTTTGTAGTACACAGTAGTACTGGGAAGTAGTTTGTGCAAGCTTTGTAGTACACAGTAGTACTGGGAAGTGCTTTGTGCATTTGTAGTACACAGTAGTACTGGGAAGTGCTTTCTGCAAGCTTTGTAGTACACAGTAGTACTGGGAAGTAGTTTGTGCGAGCTTTGTAGTACACAGTAGTACTTGGAAGTAGTTTGTGCGAGCTTTGTAGTACACAGTAGTACTTGGAAGTAGTTTGTGCGAGCTTTGTAGTACACAGTAGTACTGGGAACGTGCTTCTGCAAGCTTTGTAGTACACAGTAGTACTGGGAAGTAGTTTGTGCAAGCTTTGTAGTACACAGTAGTACTGGGAAGTAGTTTGTGCAAGCCTTGTAGTACAAAGTAGTACTGGGAAGTGCTTTGTGCAAGCTTTGTAGTACACAGTAGTACTGGGAAGTGCTTTGTGCAAGCTTTGTAGTACACAGTAGTACTGGGAACGACTTTGTGCAAGCTTTGTAATACAAAGTAGTACTGGGAAGTGCTTTGTGCAAGCTTTGTAATGCAAAGTAGTACTGGGAAGTAGTTGTTGCAAGCTTTGTAGTACACAGTAGTACTGGGAACGACTTTGTGCAAGCTTTGTAGTACACAGTAGTACTGGGAAGTGTTTTGTGCAAGCTTCGTAGTACAAAGTAGTACTGGGAAGTGCTTTGTGCGAGCTTTGTAGTACACAGTAGTACTGGGAACGTGTTTGTGCGAGCTTTGTAGTACACAGTAGTACTGGAACGTGTTTGTGCAAGTTTTGTAGTACACAGTAGTACTGGGAAGTAGTTGTTGCAAGCTTTGTAGTACACAGTAGTACTGGGAACGACTTTGCAAACCTTGTAGTACAAAGTAATACTGGGAAGTGCTTTGTGCAAGCTTTGTAGTACACAGTAGTACTGGGAACGGTTTCGTGCAAGCTTTGTAGTACAAAGTGGTACTGGGAAGTGCTTCGTGCAAGCTTTGTAGTACAAAGTGGTACTGGGAAGTAGTTTGTGCAAGCTGTGTAGTACACAGTAGTACTGGGAAGTGCTTCGTGTGTGTAGTGTACTGGGAAGTAGTTTGTGCAAGTGCAGTAGTGTGGAGTGTATAGTGTGGAGTGTGTAGAGTGTAGAGTGTGGAATGTGTAGTGTAGATTGTATGGCGTGTGGAGTGTAAAGTGTGGAGTATGGAGTGAGGAGTGTGGGAGTGTGGTGTGTGTAGAGTGTAGAATGTGGTGGAGTGTGGCGTGTGAAGTGTGGAGTGTAGTGTGTGTAGTCAGGAGTGAGGAGTGTGGAGTGTAAAGTGTTGAGTGTGGAGTGTGCAGTGGGTAAAGTGTGGAGTGTGGCAGGTGGTGGTGATCTCGTTGTGTTGGTGATGTTGCTGTGCTGGTGATGCTGTTGTGTTGGTGATTTTGTTGTGATTTCATTGCGCTGGTGATATTGCTGTGCTGGTTGTGATTTCGTTGTGCTTGTGGTGATGTTGTTGTGCTGGTTAGTTGTCTCTTTGTGAACCGCACGATGCATGCAAATATCGGTTCGTTTTCCTATTGCAGAGGTTTGCACTCGTAGTCCAAGAACGTGAATACATTCGGGTTCGTGGCTTCCATCTTGTTTATATAACCAGACATCATATAGAATCATTTGGTTTCCGATATCATGTCTCTCTGTCTGGAGTTCATGATAGAGGAAACCTAGATGAATGATGTGGGTCCGGGGAAAAAACACATCCAACAGGGATGCTGTGGGTTGAGATGACCCATATATTTGGGATGGGTTCAAGCCACCAGATTTCTATGTTCTTTGGGATGGTTCCTTTAGGACAATAATGACTTTGAACCAATCTTAATATGATTAGTATTATAGTGACTTTAGTATTATATAATCATTTATATTATGATTAGTCTAGAATTGAAATTCACCAACCTTAACAACCGCAAAAAGAAAAGACACGTACGTCCGATTTCTGGCCAGCATGGCATGTTATTCAGCTTGGTGAATGTTGGTGAATTATGATGATGAGGATGAAATCGGTCCCTTGAAATCATGATGATTGCGCTGGTTGAGAAATTTGAGAATCGATATGGGCCCCATGGTATCGTTGCACAAAAGACTGATGTGAAAAGCTCATTTCTTGGCGACAGATTCACTGATTCATGGCCAACTTTCAATGATATTCTGATATATTCTGGTACCAATTGAAAGATGTGCCAGGTGATTTTGTCATATAATATCATATAACATTTTGATACATTTTGATCTGGGCCTGCCTGCATGGTGAAGATCTTCATGAGATCCAAATTTGCCGCAGCCGATTTTGTAACCAAAACCCTGAGAACGCCAACCGCTACTGGAGAGCGCTATGTCCAGCCAGAGTCAGGCAAGCGGAACTTCCTGCAAGTTGGTTTGTTTTAGGAATTGGTGAACAGGTGGGTACATTTTGCTTTATTCTCACGGGGAAGACAAATGAACGGGTAGTTTCGCAATTCAACCTGTTGCCTCGAGTGGGGAAAAGGATATATCCGATATATACCCATAGGATCCATGTATGGTATATATGCTAACATTTGGGGTATATTGATGGTAAATGTTACCATATATAGCATACATGGATCCTATGGGATATATATAATATATATATAATATATATATATAATTATACTAATTATACATATAATTTTGTAATATACTAACCAACAACAACACATTTGGCTTCGGAGGAATGATTATCAGGACCATGTGATACAACCATCCCTGGGAGAATCGGAACGGCGGAACGGACGTAGCGAAGAAGATGCGAATCAAATGCAGCTGACATCCCCCGTGACCAAAATGGTGCTGGGTGCAATCCTTTCAGTGACCACTGAGGCAATATATATATATATATACGAAACATGGTGCTTTACCTTGCTAATCCGTATACCGTATACCCCTTTGTTCATGTTGGGAGGCCTAACCAAATCGGGGTATTGGTATTGGTCTTCAACAATCCCAAAGTTGGAAAGCTGGGAATCAGCATCTAAGATGGGGACCCAACAAAAACCATCCTGTGTCATCAAACTTGGACAATTTATCATTTATAGAGTTTTAACTTTACACCTGGTTCAAAAAAATCTGCCATTTATAGATTGAAAAACATATCACATATCCTTTAATTGTTTTTTTGCTCAAAATTAAGAACTACAGAGTTAATATTGGTTAAAACCTCTACACCTCCATTTGTATCGGATTTTCAATTGCCAGGTTTGATTTCCAGATGTTTTTTGTTCGACTCTTCCTGTCGAGATGGTGGTCCCTGCCAGGTGTCCATGGCAGCAATGACCGAACCAGGCGCCAGCTCCAGCATTTTTCATTGGAAAATCAGGTATAGATAGAATAGAATGACCATAGAGATATTGCATAAGATGGTAGTATATGAAGATGAGCATGATAATCATGATAATATTATATACATTATATGTATGTATATATATATATATATATGCATATATATATATGTATACACATGATTTTCCGTCGACAGCTTACATTTAGCAAAGGGTTTAGCAAAAATACGCAGATTGTCATCACCTGGTGAATTGCATAGCTTCACAAAAAACAGCTGGGGCCCCCTTTTTCCGTTAGCTGGCTTGGTTTTTATCTATAATGGATCAACCATATTAATATATGGTTATGCTATTTATATATATCAAGTTATATCATATCCCATAGGATCTATGGTGCTGGTATATATGCTAACATTTGGGGTATATTGATGGTAAATGTTACCATATATAGCATACATGGATCCTATGGGTATATCTATAGGGTTTAGGGTGATATAGGTTATAAACTAACTTGTAACTGGGGCTCCGACCTTGTAGCAGCCAGGTCTTGCCTTTGTCGCGCAGCCATCAATGACTCACGTGCAACGTCTTGTCAAGCCCAGCAGCTCGCCCAATTTTTTTTATCCATGTTTATGTTGGGGTTTCCTTCAAACTGTCGATTGAAGATGATTTAAGGCTTTGTCTGAAAATCGAGCCTCACAAACAATCATGCTTTATCATCATTTTCTGATCAATACAGTAGCCATAAGTCCTCCATTGACACAGCCATTTGGAACCAAGGTGTGACCCAACAGCCGGTGTCCAATGATGGAGATGCCAAAACTTTCTCCGCAGCCGTGATGGGCCCCTTGGGTGACTGGTGAAACACCAATGGGCAACAGGGAACTTTTGGCCTCAATGCGAAGATGAGTATGAAATTAGATCATTATATAATCTTATAATATCTTATAGATGGTACCCAATGGATGGTTCTTCCCGTAATATGGTGATCATATGCAATAATAGGTTTTGACCCATCCCCATACTGATATATATATATATATATTATATTATATTTATAATATATATATATGAGGTATGTATATTATATATACATATATGTATGATTTAATTGTGCAGTATATCCGATGGCTTCAAGTTTTTTTTTGGATGTCTAGGTCAAAGTATGATATATCGAAAAGTATGATATATCGAAACGGTTGATGTGTACCCCTTGACCCAACGTCGGGCTGCCCAGGTGGGTCCTTGTTGGGCTTGACGGCGGGCATGTCCAAGCGCTCCAAACGTTCCAAGCGTTCCCTGCTTCGAGTGGCCACTGCAGACGTGCAGGAGCGGTCCGGCGGTTGAACGGTGGATGTAGTCCAACCAAGGGTCCCTTAAGGGTCCCAAGGGTCCCAAGGGTCCCAAGGGTCCCAAGGGTCCCAAGTGTGGGGTTATATGCTTATTTGGTTGGTGGTTTGGAACAGCCGTGTTGCCCAAATTCCTCCCAGCTGGTACGGCCGGCACCACTGAACATTGGGCTGATTCGTTCCCTCCTGATTTGCCATGGCTTCGGGGTACCCCATGGATATTGGTGCTGTTGATGATGGAGCTCATATTTCCCTGGTTGTGTCACTGTTGGTTTTCGATCCCACACACGAAGCTCATTTGGTCAGAATTTCTCATTCTGGTGTGAAATGCCTGTTTTCTGGCTTGATGGAAGGTGGTTTCTCTACCTACACCTTATGTGATGCGGTCATGGGCAAACAATTTCCTATTCCCAGGCTTGGATGTGATAGTTCCACGAAAGTTCTGTGCCATTCATGTCCCTCTTGGCAGAACATGCGAAGCATGATTGACGGATGCTGTGGCATAGGCGGTATCGCTCATGGAGCTCAAGCTGTTGGGATCAACACCACGGTTGCAGTAGATGCAAATGCTCACATGACTGGACTCCACAGTCGCCACTCTGATGCTGAGGTGATTGTAGGGGACTTGGGAGATATTGATGTGATCAAGCAAATTGGAATTCGGGCTGATGGCGCCAAAATTTTGAGTGCTGGTTTCAATTGCCAACCGTTTAGCTCATTGGGTGATGGACGTGGTGGCCAAGATCCCCGTGCACAATCGCTCCCCAAAACCCTCAAAGCAGCCTACTTTTTGCAAGTGCGAATTGTTTTGCTAGAGTGTGTTACGCCGGCAAAGGATGACCCATTTGTCATGCAAGCTATCAGCCATTTCTTGCAGGTTACTGGTTTTCATCAGGAGCAAGTTGACCTTCATTTGCATGATGTCTGGCCTTGCAGGCGATCTCGAACATGGTGGTTGTTGTATGACCCTTTCCTTGGAAATTTGGGATTGACGACATGGCCTACCCTGAAAGACTTGACGACTGTGAAATGTTTGATTCCATATATTTCCAGATGGGACCCTAGAGATGAACTGGCTCTGAGTTTAGATCAGATTGAATGCTCTTCCTTTGGGATTTCTGATGATACTTATTCCAGGTACCTTTTGTCCTCTGAGGGCATTGCTCCAACAGCGCTGCATGCATGGGGCTCTCAATTGAGAGCTTGTCCTTGTGGATGTCGCAGTCATGCCTTGTCTGAACGTCGACTTGCTGAGAAAGGTCTCTTTGGTCTTTTGGTCCAGAGTCGGTCTGATGTCTTGCCTTCACCTGGCATCCGCCATGTACATCCGAATGAAGCCTTAGCACTCAATGCCATGGATTGTACAGTTGATTTTGGCCTAAATGTGAGACTGACACTTTCAGGGGTTGGACAAATTGCCAGTCCTTTGCAGGCAGCATGGGTGCTCAGTTTTGTCACTACCAGGTTGGATCACATGTATCATGGTGAATGCCAGTTCTCCCCTGAATCGCAATTATGGGCTTTTCGCTCTTGGCTGCTCATGCGATGTCAATTGACATGGCCTTGCAATGAGTGTATGCTTACCGACGCTACCTTGCGTGAGCTGGTTAGCTTTTGGCATGAATTTCCCAAGTTTTCCATTTCCCAGCTTGTGCATCCGTCCACTTGGCCAGATTTGCCTTGCCAGGATTTGACCATTGCCGCAGTTTTAGATCATGTCATTCGGTCATGTTGTCGACCTGATCCTCGGTGGGTTTTACCTCCCATTGATGAACCTGAGACCCCTTGGTTGGATGAGATGGTTTGCGATCCCAAAGGTGATTTTTCCTTGAGTGTTGGGGTATCCACCGTTACCCTCATAGATACTGATGGAAGCTGTTTGGATTTTGGTTTTGTTGCGGGTTCCACCGTTGCTGATTTTCTGAATGCTCATGGCAAACTCAATGGGATCTTCCGTGTTTCAACCATTTCTGATGGATTGGGTTCATTCATCTCACCTGATGTGATCATTGAACGAGGTCAACAAATTCAAGTGTTTCTTGCTCGTGGGCCTGATGGTCAGTGCTTTCCATCTGAAGGAGTCCTTGCCACTTCCAGTCTCACTGGTGCCGGTAGTGCAGGTGCCTTGATTGCATGCAATGATGAAACGATCCATTTTACCCCACCAGCGGTGCCTCAATTGGAAGTGGATGTGTCTGGGGAATCCGGGCCACTCCCGAAATTGCCCGAGGAACCAAGGGTTGATGGGATCCAAGGATGTAATGCCACTTTGCCTGACTCAACTGCTGCAGAGTCCCCACCTTCGGTTGGGGTTGAGCATTATGATTCAAGCTTGACTTGTCCCCCTGGTCAAGGTTTGCTAGGAAATGCCAATGCCCTGTTGGCACTGACCGAACAGCAGTTTTTGCGATTGACCGTCCCAAGTGTGGAGTCCACTGCCAAGCTTGCCTCCTTGCGCTGTCAGCTTTTGAAATCCAGTGACCGGGTGAAACTACTTGATGTGCAGCAATCATTGTGGTCTGATTATGAGATTTCCTTTCATTTGAATCAGATTTTGCTCCACTTGCAACAGTCATGCAACCCCGGTGATGCGGTGACTTTGCCATTGGTTGTTGACCCCATCCTTATGACTTCCTGGTTGCATGATCGGGGTTTTTCGGTTGCCCAGTGGGCCAGTTCTCACTCTGAGGTTCGTGACAAGAAGATTCAAGTCATTGGAATTGGATGTCTTGATGGTCATTGGATTCCATTTCAGATTGTGCCCTGCGGTTCCCATGCCAACATTTTCACTTGGGATGCCCCGCAGCATGAGCATGGGAGATTGAATCATGTTCTTGAAGTGATTTCTGAGCACTTGGGTTTCTCCACTACCCTTATTAATCGTCAGCATCGCATGTTCTTCATGTCTGGCCGATGTGGTGCGTTGGCTATTCATTTTCTTCATAACGTGGTTCATGGTGCAATGTTGCCCATTTCCCCTTCTGAAGCTGAAACCGTTCATGCGACCCTTAGGGACAAATTTGCCAAAGCAGTGGCACTGACTGAGTTTGTTGTCCGCCCATGGATTTGGGGCAGTGGAGATACTGAGGGTGATTCACCAGTTTCGGATCCAGCTGACATGTCTTCTCGGGAATGTAGGCCACTCCCTAGATTGCCTACTGGTGTTGAAGGAACCTTTCCTATGCCACAGCCTTCATGGGAATGCGGGCCACTCCCTATAATGCCCGTTCATGCAAGCAGTGACATGAGCACTGACTCTCCTGGATGGGAAACCATTTCGTGTGTTTTGGGCCTCTCCCCTTTTACCTGTGAAACAGATGGACGTGGACCATTTGACATTGGCGTCCGGCCTCCTCGATGTGGTTCCTTTTCCCTCTCATCGCAGGTTTCTGAGCTTTTGAGGATGGATTCCCAGCAGATGCTAGCTACTCCACCACCATGCATCCCTGATCCCATGGCTCTGTGGTTGATTCGCCATCAGGTTATGCTGACTCATGACAGATTGTCGATTTTGCCGATTCAGTACGGAGTTTGGGCAGATGATGAAATTCGTTTTCAGCTTCAATGCCTTTGTCGACAGATTCAAAGCTGTCCTGATTGTCGTCTGCCCGGCCCTGCATTTGATTTGGATCCCTTGGTTTGCTCCACTTGGCTTGATCCACAGTCTTGTTCTGGTGAGAGTTGGGCCTGGTCCCATCCCGAAATTGTTGAGCTTCAGATCACAGTTTTTGGTGTTTTTCGCATTGATGACCACTGGGTTCCTGTCATTTTGGTTCCTGCTGGCACTGCAGTTTGCATCATCACCAGTGACTTTGATCAATGGATTGCCCCAAAACTGGTGAATGTTCTTCATCGCCTTGTTGTGGCACTTGGATTTCAAGAGATCACCTTTGATCATGAAGCACGTGGATATAGCTGTCGTTCTGTCTGTGGCGCCATTGCTATCAATTTCATTCAGCACCGCCTACTTCAGGTCCCCAAGATCACCACGTATGCTGCTGCCTGGGGTGCCCATGCCCTGTTTCGACACCAATTTGTTCAAATGCTCCAGTATGTTCAACGTGTGCCACGTCCATGGATTTGGGCATCAGGAGATGCTGAGGGGTCTGAGCAGTCAGAAAAATCTTGGAGGTCAGAGCAATCCCCCACCAATGAACCTGGTGAATCTTCCTCAGGGCGAGACCCTGGGTTTCCTCCTCCCAGCTCGGTGGGGCAGGTTAGCACTCATGTTTGCATTCCAATTGATGACAGGATCGATCTTTTTCGACTGCATGGAAATGCCATGGGTGATGATGAGATTCGGTTTCACTTATTTGCCCTGCAATCCCAACGTTTCAAGCAACAGGCGTCAAGTCAGGAACGAAAACCTGATGTTATTTGCTTTGAAAGTTTGAACTTCCTCAGTTGGGACAGCGTTGGTCACATTCTGACTGAAAAGTGGTGTGGTAGTTTTCCTCAGGTGAAGCAACTTGGCCATCAGATTGTTGGCATTGTTTTGGAAGGGGATCATTGGTTGCCGCTTTGGATTGTTCCAGGTGGGATGATCTTGGTCGTCCATACATTTGATGACATTGTTGATTATGACATCTTTGATGGAAAGCTGCGATGGCTTGGACTCCATCTTGGTTTCGAGGAAGTGGTCATTCACCGAGTACCCAATGGTCTCCCGACTCATGACATGTGTGGTGCCCATGCCTTGGCCTTTCTGGCTCACATTTTGCTGGGTTCTGACCTCCCTACCTCCATTGAGGAACTGGACACTATGCGAGTTAACATGAGAGCATCCTTCGTCCAGGCCATGCATGAAGGCTCCACGTGTTTTTGTCCAATTGTTTGGGGAACCGGTGGAACTGGAGCTCTGGTGAAGTCGCTTTCCACTGAACTGTGTGGTCATGGTGTGCCTGCTGACTTGGCTGAGCAACGTGCTGCCCAGGCGATTCGTGCCATTGGTAGTGAATCCTTGATCCAAGCCTTGCAAAC